CGCCCTGGCCGTCCTCGGGGTCCGTGACGACCATCGTCGGCTTGCCCGACGCCGCCCGCCGCTTCTTGCCCGTGCGGCTGACGAGCGTGAGGCACCAGACGCCGCTCTCGTGGCCCAGCAGCGTCTGCGAGTAGAGGCCGGTCTCGGCGTCGAAGACGTGGATCTTGGAGTTGGCCATGCCCACCACGATCCACTCGCTGTCGATGGCCAGGCTCGTCACGACGGCGCCCGCGTCCGACGACTCGTGCTTGGTCTGAAAGCGCCCGCCTCGCATCCAGTTGGACTCTGCAGGCGCGAGAATGTCATGCGGGAGGAGAGAGGGGGTGAGAGGGGGAGGGAGGGGGAGGGAGGGACCAGGTCAGTCGAGTGGCGCCTGGACGCCGCGATTCGCAGGGACAGGGCCGGACCAGGCCGGACAGAGGCACGCACCCGTCAGATAGGCCAGCTTGAAGTGGGTGCGGTACGAGAACGGCCGCTGCTGCTGCTGCTGCTGCTGCTGCTGCGCGCCATCGTACTCGCCGGCATGTCCCAGCGTGGCAGACCGCAGCGAGTCGGCGGAGGCCTCATAGGGCCGTCCAAGGCCGAGCGGCTGCCCGTGGGCATCGACGGCCGGTGCCGAGCGGCGGCGCGCCTTTTTGCTCGAGCTGGGATCGTGCTGGCCTGATGTCGACGCGACCGGATTGGCGCCGCCCTGGCCGTCCTCGATCGCGCTGCCGCCGCCAGCAGCCTGGGGCCATGAGCCGTCCAGCCTGGGCGCCGTCGGCGTGGCCATGGCGGCCGTCCTACCTGGCACGAGCAGATCGTGACGCGACGAGCGACTGCCACTGCCGCTGCCACTGCCACTCGCCTCGGCGGAAGACTGGGAGGTAGAGAAGCGGTTCGTCGGCGAGTCGTAGGCCGGAATCTGGGGCAGCCCCTGGCGAAGGGCGGCGGTGAGCGGGTTGGGCGAACGTGGCAGCGGGTCCAGCGACGGCGTCTGGATGGGCGGTGCGGCAGAGGAGCCGGCGTCGACGGCCGCCATCTCGGTGTCGTCGGCGGATACGGCGGAAGAGGCCTGGCCCACTTCGACGGCAGAGGACAGGCCGAGGCCGAGGCCCGTGGCGCCCGACGTCGAGGTCTGCGAGCCGGATGCGGCGGGGCCCGCCGAGCCACTGGCGCGCGGATCTTGCCAGTTACGGAGGCGGTCGAGGCGGCCCGAGGGCGTGCGGTAGGCGCTGCTGATGGCGTGGGCCGGTGCCGAGATGCGTGCGGCATTGGCGGCGGCGCCAGCACTGGTGCTCGAGGCGGCGCCGGCAGCTGAAGGCCCAGCACCAAGCCAGCCGAGGTTCGACGACGACGACGACGACGACGACGATGCACTCGGGTGGTCGTCGGGTTGTCCGGCGGCATTTGCCGAACCGAAGACGTTGCTGCTGCCGCGCCTGCTGCTGCTGGTGATGGCCTGCGTGGAGGCGGATGGCTGCGGCAGTTGCTCGTCGTCCTCGTCCATGCCCTGCGTTTCGGCAGCATCGCTGCGGGCCGCCGTCGCCCTACCGTCGCCGTACCGCTCTCGGCTTTCTTCGGCGACAATCTCCTCGAGCTGGGCGTAGAAGGCCTTGTCGGCATCGCTCATCTGGTCGGCGAGGTTGCCGCCGCCGTCGTCCTGCTTGCTGAGGAAGAGGTCGTGGAGGGTGCGGAGCTCGTGGAGCGCATTCGAAGGGTCGAGTCCCCTGGCGCGGTAGCGCTGGTAGAGCGAGGCGAGGACGGTGCTGTCGTCGTCGTCGTCGTCGTCGTCGTAGTCGGCCTCGGCCTCGGCCTCGCCGTCGGCGGTGGCTTCGGACAGGGGCATGAGGCGGGACGAGGGCGGGGCGAATCGAGGCGTGGTCGCGGCGGTGCCGTGCGGGTGGTGGGGCTGGAGTCGGTCATCGAGGATGCTGATGCCGGCGGAGCTGCTGGCGCGCCGGCGGTAGCGATGCTTGAGGCACATGGCCTTCCAGGTGTGCTCGTCGTTTACGAGGCTGCGCCAGAAGCGGCTGACGCGGCTCGCGCGTGCGAGCGTCTTTGGGTCGTCGATGAAGCTGAGGATGTGCAGGCTGACCTCGATGGGGAGGGAGCTGAGGAAGTCGACCTTGAGGCGCGGGCCGAGCTCGGACGAGAGGTGGGCGAGCTCGCGGAGGTCAAAGAGGTCGACGAGGCCGGTGAGGAAGCGGTGGCGGGCGGACGAGGAGAGCTGGGGCAGGACGATGGAGAGGTGCTTGAGGAGAGGCTGCGGGTCGTTTGGGTCAAAGGAGAGCTGCGAGGCTGCCCTCGAGGATTGTGGTTGGCCGTTGCTGGCGCCGGGACCGACATGGTGCTGGGAGAGTGCGGAGGCGAGGCGGAGGTGGGCGTGGAGCTCTGGCTGGGGCGATGGAGCTGGTGTGGGCGGGCTGATGGCCCTGGGCGGTGGCGAGCCTGCGCTCATGGCTGGGCGGGCCCGTTGAAATTGCGGCGGCGGCGATGGGATGGCCAGGAGGGCGAGTGCGCGGCTAGATGTGGCGAGCAGAGGTGCTGATGATGGTGCTCAGGGGAATGACATGGGCGCAGTGCGGTCGCTGGGCCGGGGGGGTATGGTATCGAGTTTCGGGGGTGGTGGCGGCCCAAGCAGTCTGCGTGTCGAAGGAAAGAGGATGGCTGCGAATGCGACGAGGTGCGAAGTGTTGAGATGCGATGCGGTGCGGTGCGGTGCGGTGCGGTACGATGTGTTGCGGCGTGCGGTGGTGTCCAAAGTGAGGATGCGCGGTTCGAGGTGGTGGTGGTGGTGGTGGTGGTGGTGGTGGTGGTGGTGGTGGTGGTGGTGGTGGTGGTGGTGGTGGTGGGTGGGTGAGTGAGTCGAAGCGGGTGCCACAGGCCAGGGCGAGCGAGCAGAGGGTTTAGGGCCCAGCGCCTCGCTCGGCCCTGGCAGCCAGCCAAGCCAGCCAAGCCAGCCAGGCCAGCCAGGCCAGCCAGGCCAGCCAGGCCAGCCAGGCCAGCCGGGCACGACGACGGCCCGCCGACCTGCGCCGCGACGCCGCACCCACTCTCAGGCTAGGCTCTTTTGCCACCCCCGGAGCCAGCGCAGGCTCGCTGCCAGCGCCGCACCGCACGCCTTTCGCCATCCTCGACGCCCTCCCTCTCTCAGCCGCACTGGCAGCCGACGCTGCGGCCTCACTCGTCGTCAATGGCAGTCGTTGCACAATACAAAAAGGGGGCGACAACCGCCGACGGGCGACGGGCGCTCCACAGGGTCAAAGCGTGTCGCCGCATCAAGCAGGGCCCACCGACGCGCCACGCGGCCCCGTTGCCACCATCCCCTAGCACCGTCGCACGGATGTAGCATGACATACTGAAGCCGCACCCCGCTCGTCCTCGCCGCACCATCTAGCTAACCTGCCTCACTCGCGCCATGCCAGCGGCAGCGGCCCCGACAACGGAGACCTCGAGGACCAGCCTCGGGATCGACGCCTCTTTGCCCCTACTCGTCCTGCACCTCATCCTCGACCTCGTCAATCAGCCTCTCGAGATCGGTGCGCAGCTCGGCGCACCACTCGTCGAGCGGGTGGTCGCTGGCATCGAGGCCAAAGCAGAACTCGACCTCGCTCGAGATGCCCTCGAGGCCCATGAGCGTGATGGCCACCAGCGTCACAAACGGAACCATCCTCCAGCCCAACTCGCCCACCAGCGTCAGCGGCAGCGCAAGCAGGTACAGCAGGCACGACTGCTTGAGGTGGATGCTGTAGATCTGCGGGATCGTCGTGCGCGAGATGCGAAGCAGCGACGAGAAGTGCTGCGACAGCGTCAGCAGGTTCGTCACCAGCACACCGTGGAACGGTCCCGACGGCAGCAGATCGGCGCGGTGCACGCCCGCCACGTAGACGTGCAGCGCCGTCAGGATGCGCGTCGGCAGGTCGGTCGTGTCCGTCGTCGTCGAAGACGAGAGGAGCGTCGTGGCGGCGGCGGTGGCGGCGGCAGCGGCAGCACTGTCGGTCCTGATCCTGGTCGTGCTGCCTGCAGCGCCTGCGCCAGACAGCAGCGGCTCTCGTTCGCCCCTCGACTCGATATCGGCCGCCTTGCGCAAGGATCCCGGGTCACGATCGGGGCCGTCAGCCTCGTCGCCCTCGCCATCCAGCGGCGGGCTACCCTTGCCGCCGCCAAAGGCATTGGCCGCCACCGCCTGGCCGCGACGGAGGATGGCGTACGTCGAGAGGAAGCCGCCATCGCCGTCGGCGGTGCTGGGCGGGCGAATCCTGGCGGATCCACCGCGGGCGACGTACACCTTGAGGTCGTCGGGCAGCACGTTGGCCAGGTCCGCGTACTGCCAGCCGTACTCGCCGCGGATGTGGTGCTTGACGGCAATCATCCACGCCATGAGCAGCTTGACGGCGCGCTTCTTTCGCTCAAACCTCTTTTGCCGCGTCGCCTCGTCCGCGTCGGCCCCAGCCGCAGTCGCAGCCGCAGTCGCAGTCGCAGTCGCAGTCGCATCCGCATTCGCATTCGCAGTTTGGGTTGAGGAGGCCGTTGTGCCCGGCAGACCACCGTCGACGTCGACGTTGCACCATACGAGGATGGCGAGGTTCTTGACCGTGGCGCTGGCGTCCTGCCATACGCGCCTGCCCTCGTTCCAGCGTTCGAAGCTCGACGAGTTGCGAAAGACGATGAGGAGTCCCACGACGACCGAGAGCGGGCCAATGACGCTGTTGCTCGTGCGCCACTGGCGGTCGTACCACAGGTCCGCCGCCGCGATGAGCGTAGCGTAGAGCGTGACAAAGAGGACCGAGGGAAAGATGCGCGGCAGCACGGAGCCGCTCACCCGCAGCGCGTCCGAGACGAACGTCGTGCGCGAGTGCAGACGGTGCGCGGCCGGCGCGCGGTGGTACGACGACGAGGCCGAGGTGAGGCCGACGAACGTCGACGCGAAGGGTGTCGCGCTGTTCATGGTGCAGGGTGCAGGGGTATGGAATCCGGTAGAGAGGGAGCGCGATGAAGAAGAGAGGGAGCCAGCCCAGCCCAGGCTGGGAGTGTATGCTGATCGATCGTCGTTGGTCGGGGGTCAGGGTCGTGAGAGCGAATCTCGTAAGTCGTGTCGTGAGAGCGTCAGCTCGAGGTCATGGCGTGGTTCGTCAGGAGCGAAGCTACGGTAGGGGAGAAGCTCTCTATGCCGTGCGGCCAGAAAGTGCCTGGCGGTGGTGGTGGTGGGTGGTGAGTGGGGGGGATCAAAGAGGAGGGGGGAAGGGGCGGGAGCAGGGCCATGGTCGCGGCTCGAGGATGCCGGAAGCGCCGCCTCAACGAGGGAGGGCCCGTGCTTGAATCTAATCTCGGCAGAGCTGCAAGCGGCGGGCGCAAGCGTGCGTGCATGCATGCCTCTACCTGCCTATCTGTCCGCAACGCCGCCGGATTACCGCGCAAGCAAGCCAATACCGCCATACCGCACCGCACCGCACCGCACCGCACCGCACCCGTTGCAACCAGGCCGTCATCGTCAGCAGTAGCGGCAGCGGCGGAGGCGGCGGCCGTCGTTCGTCTGGCAGGCGCGGAGAGACTCGGCGTCGTACGGCGTCGTACGTTGTGGCATAGCATGGTACGGATTACGCTATGTCGGACCAACGCAAGAGGACGGCCGGGCCGGGCGGTCGGTCGCACCTCGAAGAGGCGACGTCAGAGAGCTCCCCACAGCTGCGGTGGGCGAGACAGACAGACCGACAAAGGGCAAAGGCGGTGGTGCACTCGTCAGTCAGCCACCGCTGCCACTCTCCGTCGAGCACCGCGCGACACCCGCACTCACCTTGAATGTCCTGCTCCACTCGCCGCTGGCAATGTACTCGCCGTCTGCGGGTGCAAGCGCGATCCCATCGACACAGCATGGTTGACATGACATGACCGGCTCGTCAGCTATTGGTTGACCCTCGCGCGACTACCGACGCGATGCAGCCTCGCCTCGCCCCATACGGCACGGCACTCACCGGAACTGATGTCGACCGACATGACCCGCCCGCCGTCGCCCTTGAGCGTCTTGAGCAGCTGCCAGTCGTCGGCACTCCACACTTTTACCAGGCCATCATAGCCCGCCGTGGCCAGGTAGCTGCCCGACCGACTCACTGGATCCTCGCCCTCGCCATTGGTGCCTCCGCCTCCGCCCGCCTCCGCCGGCCCTTCGCTCATTTCGACGTCGACCGTGGCGTTCGTCGCAGGCGACGGCGACGGCGGCAGCCAGGGTGCCGCCCTGCGCTCGCGCTGCGACCGAAAGAAGCGCACGTCGGCCACCGACGACTTGTGCGCCGGTATCGTGTAGATCGACTTGAGCGCCCGCATGTCCCATATCCGCACCGTGTCGTCGCCGCTCGCCGTAGCCACCTGGTGGCCGTTGGGCGCAAAGTCAATCGAAAGTATCTCCTTGACGTGGCCGTCGAGCACCATGGCCGTGCGCCCCGTCCTCGTGTCCCATACGCGGCCAATGGCGTCGAGGCCGCTGCCAGCGGTAGAGCGCAAAGGAGATCAAGGTCAGTGTGCCTGCGCCTGTGGCGTGGGGGAGAAGCGGGACGGGCGCGGTCGTCGGCCAGCCGCCACTCACCCGCTGGCAATCAGTGCGCCGTCGTCCTGGAACTCGACCGAGTAGACTTCCTTGCTGTGGCCTTCTTGGATGAGGAGGCACTCTGCGCTCTCGACGTCCCACAGCCGCCACGTGCCGTCAAAGGCTGCGCTGGCCACGTAGGCACCTGTCGGGTGGAAGGCGGTGCGTGCGACACGCCCCTCGTGGCCCTTGAGCGTGGCGAGTGGCCGGTCGCTGCGGAAGGGAGAAGAAGCGATGCGAAAGGCCAGGGGGAAAGGAGGAAGAGTGTGGCAAGGGGTCAGCGGGTGCGCGGCGAAAAGGGCGGGCCGAGACTGGCTCTGCGCGGCGACGGCACGCACCTGTCGAGGCTCCAGAGGCAGACGGTGGCGTCGGCTGCGCCCGTGACGAGGTTGACTGCGCCCGACGACTGGCCGATGGTGGCCTTTGGGTGCCAGGCGACGCCGCCGACCTTGTCCGAGTGGGCGCGCAGGGTGGCGCGTTCGGATGCGCTGGGGATGTTCCAGAGCTTGAGACTGCCGGACCAGCTACCGGTGGCGAGGAGGGAGGCGTCTGGGGAGAAGCGGGTCATGGAGATGGGGCGGTCGCCGCCGATCTGGGAGCCGAGGTTGGTGAACTGCTTGATGGGTTCAAAGGTGCGCTTGCGCAGGGCGACGAGCTTGGTGAGGGGTACGTTGGCGTCCAGCCTCTGCTGGGCGATGCGCTGTTTTGCGCGCTTGAGCGAGTAGGCTGCGATGGTGCGCCGCGAGTCGACGAGGCGCTGTGAACCTTGGGTGAAGAACTCCTCTTCCTTTTCGCTGTCGTCGTCGTTGTCGCTGTCGGCATCGCTGCCGCCGTCGGAGCCTTGGCCGGCTGCCGTTGCCGCCGCTGCGGCCTTGTCCCTGCCGTCGACGAGGTCGCCTGCCTGCTGGAGTAGGTTTGCGAGGAGTGCGCGGAGGCGTTCCCTGCGGTCCATTTCGCGCTCTCCGAAGCAGGTGATGGGTTGCTTGAGCTGTCGGAGTCGGCGCCTGACTTTTGGATCCGAGGTGGGGACTGCGATGCTGCGTGCAAACTTGCGCGAGTCGATCTGTGCGGATATGGCAGCGTCTGCTGCGCTCATGTAGTTTGACTTTGACGAGACGAGGTCCTCGATCGAGATGCCTCCGGCGTCGGCGGCGTTGTCGGCGTTGCGGGCATCGTCGGCGGCGTCGTCGTCGTCGTCTAGGTCCATGCGCATGCGGCCGGACGACATGGTGTTGATGGGCGGCGCGTGCGGGGGTAGGGAGAGGGAGAGGAGGATGAGAACGAGGGTGGCGGTGGTGGCGGAGAGGCGCGGAGAGCGGAGAGGCGGGGAGGCGGAGAGGCGGAGAGGCGGAGGGGAAGAGCGAAGGTGAAGGCGAGGCCCGTCGAGAAAGGTCGGGTCGCGGGCGAGCTCGAGAAATCAAAGTGGAGAAGCCAGCTTGCCAGCCAGCTTGCCAGCCAGCCTTGCAGTTGGCCGCCGCTTGGCTTCTCGCCCGACAGCGGGATGATGGCGGGGCCGCCTTTGGCTTTGGCCAGGTCGGAGTGCCGGTGCAACCAACACTCGGGTCAAAGGTGCGGCCGAGGCTTCTTCGTTGGTCGCTCTCACTCGCTCGTCCCACGTCGCTCGCACGCGCCCCCTCCCCTCGCAGCGTGCCCTCGCCCTGGGCACAGAGCCTCATCCACCACCGCCATACTCACCACCACCACCACCACCACCACCACCACCACCGCCACTCTGCTCGCATCCCTGCGCTGCGCCGCCCGCCCCCCGCGCTCGACACCGCCCAGCATGGACGCATCGCGCGCCCAGACCGCACGCGCTCGCAGACCCCTCGCCGACCCTTCCTCAACAGCCTCGGCCAATGCCGCCTCGCCCTACCTGGACCACCACGGCGGCGACCACCACCATGACCACGACGACGACGACGACGACGACGCAAAGGGACTAGCAAAGGTGAGCCAGACAGCCGGCCAGCCAGCCCGCCGGCCACGCCCCGCTCCACTGCCAACCGCTCGCTCACCTCCGCTGACTTGCCCGCTCGTCCCTCTCCCTTTTCCCCGTCCGCCTCTCTTGACCCCGGGGCAGCGCCACGACCTGGCGCCGCTGCCCGCCTCGGCGCACGCCTACCGCGGCGACCTGGCCATCGCCCTCGCCCTCCTCGCCGGCGCCCTCGCCCTCCGCTTCTACCGCATCGACCACCCGGCCCAGGTCGTATTCGACGAGGTCCACTTTGGCAAGTTTGCCGCCCACTACCTCAAGCGCGAGTACTACTTCGACGTCCACCCGCCCCTCGCAAAGCTCCTCAACGCCGCAGCCGGCTACCTCGCCGGCTTCGACGGCTCCTTTGAGTTTGACAACATCGGCGACGACTACATCGCCAACCGCGTCCCCTACGTCAGGATGCGCGCGCTGCCCGCCGTCATCGGCAGCCTCCAGGTGCCCCTCGTCTACGCCATCATGCGCCAGAGCGGCTACGCCCCCGCCATCGGCGCCTTTTCCGCCTCGCTCCTCCTCCTCGACAACGCCCACATCGCCCAGGACCGCCTCATCCTCCTCGACGCCCCCCTCATCCTCTTTATGATGCTCAGCCTCTACTCGTACATCCGCTTCCACAAGCTGCGCTACAACGACTTCACCCGCCGCTGGTGGGCCTGGCTCACCGCAACGGGCGTCTCGCTCGCCCTCACCATGAGCTGCAAGATGGTCGGCCTCTTCACCTTCATCACCGTCGGCGGCGCCGTCGTCGTCGACCTCTGGCGCATCATGGACATCCGCCGCGGCCACTCGATGCGCCACGTCGCCCGCCACTTTTGCGCACGCGCCCTCTGCCTCATCGTGCTGCCCTTCTGCGTCTACCTCTTCTGGTTCTGGGTCCACTTTGCCATCCTCGTCCGCAGCGGGCCCGGCGACACCTTTATGAGCTCCGAGTTCCAGCAGACGCTCGTCGGCAACCCCATGCTCAGCGAGGCGCGCGAGGTCCACTACTACGACCGCGTCAACATGATGCACAAGGCCACCCGCGCCTACCTCCACTCGCACCCGGAGCGGTGGCCCCTCAAGTACGACGACGGCCGCATCTCGAGCCAGGGACAGCAGGTGACGGCCTACCCGCACAACGACACCAACAACGTCTGGCAGATCCTGCCCACCAGGCCCATCGACGACGAGTCGGACCCGAGCCAGCGCGCCGTGCGCCACAGGGACGTCATCCGCCTCTTTCACGTCAACACCGACAGCTTCCTCATGACCCACGACGTCGCATCGCCCCTGACGGCCACCAACGAGGAGTTCACCACCACCCCCGCCAACGACACCAGCCAGTACGACAACACCCTCTTCGAGTTCCACCTCGACTCGGCCGTCGACGCCGACAGGGACTCGCCCGCCGCCACCTGGAAGAGCAAGAGCGGCTGGTTCCGCCTGATCCACGTCGCCACCCGCGTCTGCATGTGGACCCACCCGGAGCCGCTGCCCGAGTGGGCCTTCAAGCAGCAGGAGGTCAACGGCAACAAAAACGCCATGGACAAGACGGGCCTCTGGTTCGTCGACGACGTCTGGCCCGAGCCCACCGCGCCCGACTACGACGAGCGCTCCCGGCCCGCGCCGCCGCGCGACGTCATCCGCATGCCGTTTTGGAAAAAGTGGCTCGAGCTCCAGATCCAGATGCTCCAGCAGAATGCCGGCCTCACCCAGTCGCACCCCTACGCCACCGGCCCCATCAACTGGCCCTTCCTGCTGCAGGGCATCTCGTTCTGGACCCAGAACGAGGGCCAGAAGCAGATCTACATGACGGGCAACCTCGTCTCCTGGTGGGGCACCATCCTCTCGATCAGCGTCTTTTGCGGCATCGTCGGCGCCGACCTCCTCGCCCGCCGCCGCGGCCTCTACCCGATCCCCTCGGCCATGCGCGGACGCCTGCACAACTCGGTCGGCTTCTTTGTCGGAGCCTGGGCCGCCCACTACCTGCCCTTTTTCCTCATGAACCGCCAGCTCTTTATCCACCACTACCTGCCCGCCCACGTCTGCGCCTGCCTCGTCGCCGGCGGCGTCGCCAACTTTGTCCTCACCGAGACCATCGAGTTCCCCGTCTCGGAGCCGGGCCCGGGACTCGGCCGCCAGCGCTGGAGGCCCCGCATGCGCACCCACGTCGAGGCGCCCGCCAAGGCCGTCATGGCCGTCATCGTCGTCGCCATGGTCGTGTGCTTTGTCCACCTCTCGCCGCTCACCTACGGCACGCCCGGCCTGACGAGCGACGAGATCCACCGCCGCAGGCTCCTCGGCAGCTGGACGCTCCACTTTGCAAAGTAGCCGCGGCGGAAGCGGCAGCAGCGGCGGCCATTGCCGCAAGCAGCGAGCACCCAGTGGTGGGCTAGACGGCAGCGCTGGCTGGCTGGCTGGCGGCGATGTGGTCGACGCGCATGTAAATAGAGGACCAGCTGGCCGGTCGGCCGCCGAGCCGTGGAAAAATGGACTCGCACAATCTTGGGATGCTCGAGATCCGCGAGCGAGTCAGCCGGGTGCGATGGCTGCAGTCTGAGCATCGCTCTGCGTGCGTTGCGCTGCGGTGCGGTTCCGCGTGAGTGCCGGGTCGGGGCGAGATTGTTGGATCGGCTCGGAGTCCGGGTGCGAGCGAGGTGCCCGAGGCGATGCTCCGAGGCGACGACTGGAGGGGGCGTCAGAGGCCAAGCTCGGCGGCAGATCGGCAGGCTGGTGGGAAAGCAAGGAGCAGAGGAAGCCGAGCGGTAGGCGCGTTGAGTCGAGTACGACGACGGCGATGAGGTTCCTTGGATCGGGCGAGGTGGTGCAGCCTGGTCGATGCTGGAGGAAGACGGGCGCCGTGATGCCGAGCGATGCGTCGATACGCTCGGCGCCGCGCGTCAAGGGTCGGCTCGCTGCCGCTGTCGAGCGACGAAGGACGCCTGGGCTTGCCGATCTAGTCCGGCGGACCAGCAGGTTCCGTGTCCGGTATGGTCTCCGCAGCGACGCTGTGTGTCGACGCTTGGCCAGCATCGAGTTGCGGGCCGGAACAGCGGACGACTTGAAGCCATCGTCGTCGTGGCCCGGCCTGAGCTACCCTGCGCTTACCCCCGTCTCGCGCTGGGTCGTGCGGAGGAGGAAGGGGGGCCTCTACTTCTGGGATGCGGCCATGCTTGTGCATCGTCGTCGCCCGCCGGGATCGTTCAGCTCAAACTCGAGAGCGACGCCGAGTAGCCAGCGCAGACGAGTGTCCGGCGATGCCGTACGCGCCACACGACGTCAGGGCTGGCGAGGAGGGCCAGGGCCTCCGATATTCCGTCGAGACAGGTGGCGACGACGTGCGACGCCTCGCTGGCAGGAGAGGGCGCCAGTCGAAGCCCGAACGCGCGATCGACGCCACAGCGGAGCTCGACTGGAGATGCCAGCATCGACCCATCATCCCGGTCGATATCCGGCTGGGTTCTGACCGAAGAGGACGAACGAGGAACGGAGTCGTCGATACGGACTCGGTGCCTGAGCGGGCAGGCTGAGGAGGCGTGTGTCGGCAGAAAAGGTGGTGGTGGTGGGTGAGCAGGCCCGGTGGACGCGCTTCGACGAGCCCTTTATACAGCGCATGCACAGAGGGCCAAGCCAGGCCAGGCCAGGACGGGGTGGCCGACCAGCACGCCCACCCGCAAGCACGCAGTCAAGTAGGCAGGCCGGGGCAGGCTATGGCTGCATCTGTCTCGCGACCTGCGGCAAACCGCCCGCTCGCTCCCTCCTCCTGGCGAGCTCGGCCGAAAGGCAGCTGCATGCCGTCGGGGCGTCGCCGAAACTGACGCGGTCCCGCGCCTAGTCCAGTCCAGCCTCGAGCTGCCCAGTCCGGGCCGAGCTGCGGCGATGGCCGGAGCAGGTCCGACGGATAGACGGCAAGGGATCGGCTCGATCCGATCCGATCTCGGTCTCGGTCCGGGTCCGCTGCCTCAAGTGCGGCTCATCCGGGGCGTCATCGCGACCTGGCACCGGAACGGGCCACTACCGAGCTGATCACAGGGGGTGCCAGCGATCGATGAGTCGGTGCGCGTCGAAAGAGAGGGGTGCACTGGGGATTGCTCGAGGATCACCGCGGTGAAAGACACGTTGCTCAGCCCAATGGGACCGAGACGGGGCACAGGTGCAAGGTACCTGCCTTGTTCCGGCGTGGCGAGATGGGTCGGAGAGGTGGCGCTACTCAGGACCAGAGTGACGAGGGGAGACGAGAGACGGGCAGGAGGTGGTGCTAGGGACGCAAGTCGCACTAGGGCCGGCTCGTGCCTTCGATCGTTCCTTCCATTTGCAACAGCACAACACGCTGGCGGATGCAGGTGCCAAAATGGAGCGAGCCAGCAGGCGTCCGCATGGCCAGAGCGGTGCAGAACTGGATCCTCGAGACAGTATCGCCCTATGAGAGCGGATCGGACGCTGTTCTGCCTCGCTTGAATCGAGCAAGGCAAGGCAGGAGCATCGAGGTCAGACGTCATCGCCACGAGCGACGGGACGAGGGGCGAGAGGGGGTTTCCGTGTCGAGCGGAGCGTCTGGTGATCCAACGCAAAGCGATGCCCGAGCGACCAGCCTCACCGGCCGGGCCTGATGAGGGTCCGCCTCTCTCGAAGGCTGTCAGACGGTGCCGGTGCCGGGGCCGGTGCGGGCGACATCGCCTTCGGAGCTCCTGCCTGCTGTCTGTCGCCCTCCTTTGACCGCCAGCTCGAGCATGCCATGGATGCCAGCCCCTCACCGCTGCTGGCTGCTCGTCTCTGTGCCTCTGCAATCGATACGCAGGTCCACGGTGCCCAACCTCCGACGGCCGCCACTCTGCCGCAGAGACCCAGGTTGGCACGACGTTGGTGCTTTCCACATCGCCCGCTCAATGACAGAACGGGGCTCATGCAGCCACACAGCAAGGAAGCTAGACGGGAAGAGGGGCACGAACAGCCCAGAACTTGGAAGCGGGAGAGGGGGACCGAACGGCTCAGATTGTCTAGACCGTCTTCCGCGCAGAGCGAGGAGGAGAGAGCTGCCCTGCCGCCCGTGGCCGATGAGTCTCGGCCTTTGCTAGAACGGGGCACCTTGTCGCACGCCACGCCTCAAAGAGCGCTGTCGTCAGGAGAGAGGCGAGACTGAGGGCGCGGGTCCGGCCCGAGAGCGCCGCTTGACGCCTTGAACGTGAACGGCGTGCGCCCGCTGCTGACCCGCGGGTCAGAGACCACCTCTGCCTCTCGACGGCGGTCGTGACTTGCGAGGGGCGCACCAGATCGGCCGGCAGCCTCACTGCCGTGCTTGGGCTGCGCGCCGGTACCATTAGAGCTGCTGCTGCTGCTGTTGGCGCGGCCGCCGCCGTTGACGTTGTATGCGGGCTCGTCCGGGTTCTGCTTGCGCTTCTTGTGCGTGGCGACCGCCTCATCGGTCACCGCGGGGCCGGGGGCGATGCTGTCGAGGCGCAGGATGGTCCTGACCGACCTCTGCTGCGTCGTGCCTCGGACGTGCACGTTGACGAGAAAGACTTCGAGCGCATACGAGGGGCTGCCAGCTCGAATGGCCGTGTCGATGCGGATCTGGATGCCGACGTCGCCGTAGAGCGAGGCCTGCATGGTATCGAGGCAGGCGGCGAGGCTGGGCTGCTTCTCGACGGGGCCGCCCGGGCGCTGCAGGGTGCACTGCACGTCGTCGTCGATGCCGACGGCCTGCCACGAGTAACCCCGCTGGCGCTGGGCGTCTTCGTCCCGGAAGCCGACGTGCAGCACTTCGCCGAGCTTGCGGCGGACGTTGTCCATGGTCGGGACGGGCAGGCCGAGGCTGACGGTCATGTGCTCGGCGGCGTGGCAGAGGCTGGGCTTGCTGTGGAGCGTCCAGCGAGCACGGCCGTCCTTGGCGGTGCAGACCGGTTACTCGATGATGGCGTCCGGGACGACGAGCGTGGGGCTACGCGTGCCGTCTGGGAACTTGATGGCCACGTACTCGCCGCTCAGGTGGGCCGTTCCGGGGTGGGCGTGGACGACGCGCATCGTCTCGATGTCGAGCCTGCTCTGGCGACCCAGAACCGCGGCCGGCGTCGCGCGGATCTCGCCATTCTCGTAGGCGATGTACTGGTCCCTCGACGCCATGGCGATGCGCGGGCGGGCGGGGGGCTGGCTAAGTGTGTGACTGCCTGGCTGACGGCCTCGTCGCTCGGAACGATTGAGCCGTCCAAATACGGCGACGGATCGATGTTGCCTTGACGAAGAGCGGCGATCGTACGAGGAGGAGTGAGGGAAAGGAAAGACGAGGGAGAGGTCGTATGCAGGCAGCAAGGGATGGTGGTGGTGGTGGAAAGAAGGCAGGCGGCCACGCGCATACAGCCCTGCCCACCTTTCGTTTTTCGGTGGGGCGCGGGCGTCGCGTCGGGGCAGGCGCAGGTCTTGGGGCAGGCGTGCAGGCAGGCTTCTTCCCGCCCGCGCCTCTGCGCTGTGCCCGCCCGTCTATCTTTGAGCCGTTGAGCCTGGTGCTGGATCACGACACTGCCTGGCTGTCGTTAGCTTCGACTTGGCGCTACTACCCGAGATGCTGGTGGTGGCAGGAAAGGCGAGGTGCGCATGTCCGCCTACCTCTTCACAGCTCGCCAGGTGTCAGCCCTGGCCTGCTTTGAGATGCAGACGCAGATGCCCGTCATTCTCCTGCCAGCGATCGCACAGCGACGAGGCGGCGGGTCGTTCGGCGTAGGTGCCGAGGCTCTGCCATGCTCTCAGCTCCACCTGCAATCGCATCGACATCGAGCCCGGTCGGATGAAGGAGGAGGCCTCGGTCTTTGCTCTTGAACGGCGGCCCAAGCTCCGGTCCAAGCAGCGTGCAAAGGGGCAAAGCTCGAGCCGATCCTCGTCCCCTTGCCTCTAGAGGCTATTCCGCCGCATGGATGGGCGGCTGGGGCAGCGAATAGGTGACGTCGGCCGTCAGAGGCCGCAGAATCTCAGCAGGGGAACAAGAGAAGACGGCGGCGGGACACGATGCTTCGATTTCTGGACACGGACGACCATCTGGCAGTTGCTGGCCCGACAAGGAGAGAGATACTGGCCGCGTCCACCGCGGCGACCTCGTTGCGAGGGCGATTCGCGTTGCGATTCGAGGTCGAGAGAGGGATCGATGCAAAGCGTCGGAACAAGGGCGATGTCGACATGAGTTTTTCTTGGTCGTTGCACAGCGCTGCTTGCAGCGAAGGCCGGCATGCGGTGCGAGCGTCGGGCGAAAACCGAGCTGCTTGAGCCGCCGATGCCGCTGGTCGGGAAGCGCAGGTCGAAGTCCGACGGGAGCTACCTCACGGAGCTGCACACCGAGGCCTGGTCGGGCTCCTTGTTGCTGCTCGCCTGAGCAACGGAAGCTTCGCTTCCAGACAGGCGTCCCTGTCTACGCAACAGGGCCATGAGCCGGGGGTCGGCAGCAGCGCCCGTCGAGACGTTGTCGAGGCGGAACACGGTGCGCGCCGACGACAGGCTCGTCAGCTCCCGTACGTGGACGTTGACGAGGCAGCTGTCTATCACGTGCGGTGCACAGTAACCGTGGCCCACCGGCAAGAGCCGGATCTTGATACCGACATCGCAGAGCAGCGAGGCTCCCGTCTCGTTCAGAAACCCGCTGAACCCGTCGAGCTTGACGATGCTGCCGTCCCCGCGCGTGACGGTGAAGGGCAGGTCGGCTTCGACCTTGGTGACCGACCACATGTATCCGTCGTGCTCCGCTTCGTCTGGAAGATCCTGTTATGAGCCTGGGATTCTGCTTCGGATCTCTTTCATGAGCTCGGTCGGGATGCCAAGGCTGATGGTGAGGTGGTCCGGCTTGGCGGTAGGTCGGTTCTTGCCGTCAGGGGTCCAGCCGGGGCTGAGGCCTGGAGCGCGGTTCGCGACCGCCCCGATGCTCGTCTGGCACGCACGATCCTGCGCTCGCTACTCCAGTCCTATGCTTTGCCTCTCGGCCGAGGCCGCCGTCATACCACCACGGAGCTGGCGGCAGCACCGCTTCGACTGCAGGGGAGAGCGAGAGCCGGACCCGCGCATTCCAACGAGCGGGGTGCGAAGGACGGCGCACGAGCACAGGCAGTAGTGGCTATGCCGAGGAATGGGGCGGAAGTGGCGTCGATGCCAGCCGCATGCATGCTTTTTCAGGCACTAGCAGGCTCGAAGACAGGGTCTCAGTGGAGATGGGAGAAGCTCGGTGGGTTGATGGATGGACGGGGTCTCGGGCGTCGGGAGGGCGCGCCTCGTGGCGACGAGCTGGGGCTGGCGGCATTCGGGGACGACGCTCTTGGACGATCGCTTGGTCTGCCCCAAGACGCTCCAAGGACTTGCTCTTGCTCGCCCCGTGATGCCCGGTGGGTCGTTCGGGCTTGTCTCGCGGTGTCAAGGGAACGAATCTTGGCGTGTGCGACGGGACCCGTCGCCGGGGATCTTGCCGTACCTCGAGGTTAAGGGCGGTGAAGAGGCGAATCGGAAAGAGGAGGATGTGCCTCGACCCATAGATTGCCGAAGCGCCCCGCTAGGCCTGGGTTTAGTGCTTTTCTCCGGCACAGCTGCGTCGGAAGGCGCACGAGAGCATGTCGCTCAGGGACGGCACTTGAGCGGCGTAGGCGGCGAGCATCGGCTCCAGCTCGGGGCTTGCATGGCCGCCCGTATCGACGTTGTCGACGCGATGGATGGTGCGCGGCGACGAGAGGGGCGTGTGGTCTCGGACATGGACGTTGATGAGCCTCATCTCGAGCTGGAAGAGGCCCGGTTCGTCCTCCATGGGAGCCAGCGACATGCCGACGCCGACGTCGCCGAGAATCGAGCTCTTGGCCGTTTGCATGAAGTCCTCGACGTCGGCGCCCTCGAACCTTTTGCCTCCCGGGACGGCTGCAGTAAAGGCAAGGCGTCGAGGCGCCTCAACGGCGAACCAAATGCGCTCGCCGACCACGACCCTCTTGGCGGGTATCACGAATGTAGCAAAGAGCTTCTTGTAGACGGCGTCCATGACGGACGTGCGAACGCCGATCGAGATTGTGTGCGCGACGCCCTTGCCGCACTGCCTCGGCAGGTCGTCACGGGCCCATTTGGGCTCGCCCGACGTCGCCGGCGTCCATTCGACGACGACGTCCGAGAACGGGACGACAGCGCTCTGTGTGCCGTCGGGGTACCGCACGAGTACGGTTTTGGGACGGGCGTCGGCGAAGCGCAGCCTGTCCTCGCTTTTGTCCACGGGGCGGATGACGAAGTCGATGTTGATCATGCTGTCGGGTGTGAGCATGGCGGCCGGCTTGAAGCGGACGTCGCCATCGGCGTCGAAGCAGGCGTAGCTCATGGCGTGGGGGAGGCGGTCGAGCCGGCTTCGGAAAGGGGTATATGCGGGGTCAGGAAAGGACGAGAGGGGTTTGGGGCCAACAGACAGAAAAGGGAGAGGTCGAGCGTGGCGGATAGTGGAGGAGAGAAGAGAACAGGAGGGGAGATCAGGGAGACGAGGCCGTGGCGATGGTGGTGGCTGTGGTGGTGGCGCGGAGGTGGGCCTGGCCTGGCCTGCCTTGGCCCGCCTCTCTTTATTCCCTTCTCGCGCCTGCTGGCTGGCGTGGAGCGGCCCTGGCCTGGCTCGAGCGTCTGGCGCCGACTCTCGCCTGCCTGCCTGACTCTGGGCTTCCGGTCCTCAGGCGGCCATCTCGAGCTGGCGCACACGCATGGCTTGGCTTGGCTAGGCCAGCAGCCGCACCAGCAGACGATCTCGGCTCTGCTCCTGCTCCTTCGCCGCAACAGGGCGCCCGCATCCTAGGTCGACTCCTGCTTGCCCGTCTTTGGGCGCTTCTCGCTCTTCTCGTCGTCGCAAGGCCTCTTCCCGCTTTCACACGGCCTCTTCTCGCTGTCATAAGGCCTCGTCTGCCCGTCCTCTTGCTTCTCTTGCGGCAGCTGTCGGCCCTTGGTCTGGCCGGCCGCCTTTTGCGGTTCGCGCTTGTCCTTCTTGGTCGATCCACGCCGCCTGCTGCCCAGGCGAGTACGCTTCGTCGCCGCCTCGGTCGGCGGATCGACGTCGTCGACCGGGGGCTTGAAGAAGCCGGCCGACATCTCGACACGGGGCCAGCGGTCCCACAGACCCTGGCAGACCTGCTTGGCCGTGACGATGAGCCCGAGGTGGCCACGCGCAGCCCGCTCGTCAAACGACAGGCTGATGTCGACGTCGAAATTGTAGCGCCTGCAGCCCTTGACGTCTTCCATCATGCCCTCGATGCCCTCGACGCGGTGCATGGGCTCGCCCTCGAGCCAGATGGCGAAGCCGTCGCCGTGCGTCTCGGCCAGGAACCAAGTGAAGCCGCCGTGCTCGTGGACCGCGTCGACGGCGTAGGTAAAGTGCCGCCCGTACCTCGATTCCAGCTCCGCGATCGTCCTCGAGTCGATGCCGATGCGGAACAGCACCGACGTGTTCCGGGCGCGTAGCCTCGTCAGCTGCGGCGCCGTCTCCCAGTGTGTCCTTGCGACGACGGGCGGTGTGCGCTGGATGACGGCGTCCATCGAGGCCATCATATCGCCCGGCCTCTGCGGATGCGGCGTCACGACGAGGGTGCGCAACGTCTTTTGGTGGGTTCGATGCGGTCCCTTGGACTTGCGGGAGGGCGGAGTGGACTGCTCGATGGCGTGCTTGTGGTCGCGTCGGACGGTTGCTTCGACCAGAGTGGCAGATGAGGATGTGTAGTCTGTGCCGTGGCTCTCGAGGGACCAACGCATGTCGGTCGAGATAGCCCGGTGTAGACAGGCGAGGGGGAGGTGAGGCACAGCGGGTGGTGCGCAAGCCGCACTATTTGGGAGAGGGGCCGGGGATGGTGGTGGCGGGAGCATGGGAAGACGGGGCGAGACATCGCGCTCTCGCGCCTCTCAAAAGATCCCCAGCGCGTTCTGCAGGCTGTTCGCGTGCCTCCTCGTCGTCGTCTTCTGCTTCTTCCCACTGCAAGAACTTCTACGCCTGCGCCGTCGAGCGAGCAAGCAAGCACAAAGGACCATGCATGACGTTTGCGATTCAAAGGCGGGCGCGGGCGCTTACGCCCCGGCACTGACGCGCTCCTCCAGTCCTCTGCCGCCGCCTCTTTAGGTCCGTACCGGTGCTGCGTGGTTCGCAGCGGCCAAAGCGCCAAACGCCCACCAGAAGCCGGCCTGCCGTCCATCCTTGCTTCGGCCGAGAAGAGCCCATCGCGACGACTTCATTTGACCAACGCGACGCCCCGACGCGAGTTGACGCAATCTGGGGCGCAGGAGGAAAAAAAGGAAAGCGGGGCAAGGGAGGGTGGCGAGGTGAGATCCGCCATTCCGAGGGCTGCTGCTGGTGGAGTAGACGTCGCCGGACCACTTACGGGCCATCGTTTCCACGGCGGCGTCCTTCGTCCGTCGTGCTTCAGACGGTGCGAGGAGCCGACTGGAAGGAGATGCCGCGCATGTGGACGCCGACGACGTCGACGGCGAGGCTGGCCACCCCACGGCCATCGATGGGAGCGCAGATGCTGAGGCAAACCTCGCACATGCCGGGTCCGCCAAGCTGGTGCAGAAAGCGCTCCAAGTCGGGAACCACGACTGACCTGCCATTGTCGGTGTTGATTGTGAAGCCGGGGTTGTGCCATGTGCCAGCCACAAGCCAGGAGTGGTCTGCCTGCTGGACGCTGGCGTTGGTGAGGTCCAGCGTGGCGTTTTGCGCCTCGACCCCGTTCCTGGTGCAGTCAAGGAGCGGTTGCAGAATCGACGTGGGAAGGCCAAGGCACAGGGCGCTGTCCTGGTCGTTCCTGCTGCAGTGCCAAGGCAGGCACTCGTATGACGGAGACGAGACCGGCACAAACTCGACCACGGCTCCCGCGACGAACACGAGACCGCTCGGAGGGGCGATCGGGTACTGAACGCTGAGGTGAACGACTCTGTCGGAGTCGGTCTCGGCCTGCAGATCCGGTTCGGTCTGGGCCTTGAGCTCGATGTGATGTCCGCGAAGAGCTTCCGGAGTGACAAACATGGCGGGCGCCAGGCGGTAGATGTCGCCGTCGATGTTCATGGCAGAGTCGTGAGGGACAGAAGTCATGGTGGTCGCTGCTCCTGGTCTCCGAGGGTGAGGAGGTTTGGCGCTTGGGTGTCGAAGAGTATACGAGGGCAAGAGGAGCAGAGAGGACGGTGTTTTCTGACTGTGGTGGCGGGATGGAGGTGAAGGAGGGGAGGCAAGCGAGTTTGGGTGTCGCCAGGCCGCCTTTTCTACCCCTTCGCCGCGTGCGGGGTGGAGGGCCTCGCCCGCAGCCAAAGTCGCGCGCTCCAAGCTGCCTGTCCTCGCCGCCGCCCGCGCCCAGCAGGAGCCGCTTCCAGATTCGTTCCTCAGCCGACTGCGCAGCTGGACGACTCGTCCGAGGCCATGGCGCAGGATGTCCCCTCCCTCTCGTTAGGTAACAGCGACTGGACCGAGACAGGCAGCATCGTCCCGGAGCGTACCTCACAACGGCCCGTCTGGCAACACGACCGGCGTCTTTGCAACGAGCACAGACGCTCTCGTAGTGACCTGGCGCTCCGATGATCGATCGAGTGATCAAGGCGTCATGTTGGAGTTGCTGATCCTACTCAAGGTTCAGACACGCGTGGACGTAGATCACTCGACTCCAGTTCGAGATGCCGACACAGCGGGCTAGAGGTCTCGATGCTCGAGACGCTGCGAGGCTTGAAGAGGCCAGAAGAGCCACACGGCTAGGCGGGCGTGCTCGGGTCGCTCTTGGCCGTCTCGGAAGCGTGGCCCGCAGCGCTGCTGCCCATGACGGCATCCTCGTCGGTCCCTTCCAGCTCGCGCTTGCGCTTGTCGATCCTGCGCAGCAGCTCATGGTCGCGCCTGGTTCTCGAAGCGACAATGTCAAAATCGAGGATGTGACGGTTGGACGAGGCGTCAGAGAGGCCCTGGACGTGGACGTTCTTGAACTCGAGCTGGAGGGTGCACTTGGCCTCCTCCTTGGCCGCCCTTTTGACGGTCATCTCGACGCCGACGTCGCACAGCAGCGACGACCTGGCGCTGTCGAGGAACCCGAGGAGGTCCGTCTGCTTCTCGATCTCGCCGTCGCGGCCGATGTAGGTGTAGGGAGGGCTGTCCTTGAGGCCGACCATGTACCACGCGTGGCCGTTGTGCAAGTCGCCGGCGCCATCGGTGCGCACAAGCTCCTGGCCGTGTGCAATGTCGCCCTGAATCCCGTGCCATATCAGGTCGTCGACGCCGTCGGGCAGGCCGAGGCTCACGACCGTGTCTTTGCGGCCGTGGAGGCTGCGGGAAAACGAGTAGAGCGTCCAGCGGGCGATGCCGCCAGAGGCGCACGGCGGGTACTCGAGCACCGCGTCGGCGATGACGAGCGTGTGGCTCGACGTCCCGTCCGGGTATATGAGCAGCACCGACGACTCGAGCTCGTTTTCCTCGCAGACCGAGACCTCGAACTCGCTCTCGTCGCTGAGGGCGCCCATCGAAGTGATGCGGATGTCGCCGTGCTCAAAGGTGACGTACTGATCGTCCATCTGGGCGCGAGCAGGCTGGAGCTTGGATCGCGCGGTGTACGCGGTGGGAAGGTGGTGGTCGGGAAGAGAAACGTTCTCGGCGGCAGCGTGGATGCGAAGGGCAGGGCGAGACGCATGCACCGCGCGCCTCGCCCCTGACCAACGCCTCGGAACGCGACCGGTGCATCCAAACCCCCCTGCCGCAACGTCCCTACCTGCCGGCTGAAATGCTGCATGGCGATCGCCCCGCATCCCGCGCACATCTGCTAGATCCCGGCCTCTTCGCCTTCCTGTGGATCCACACGAGCTGGCAAACGACGAAGGAAGACACGCAAACGCCAGAAGCGGATTGGATTCGACGCCCTTGCTGAGTCGCGATAGCGGTCTCGGTGCCCACACCGTACTGGATGTGGGTCAGGATACGAAGCAGCAGGTGGGCTCCCGTCGAGCCTTTGGACTGTCTCGCCGCCACGTCCGTGTATCTTGCCGCGCGGAGTGGGCTGTCTAGCATCTCTCATGCCCTGTCCATGTCGACCTTCTCGCGCGCCTCGTCCGGAGTCAGACCGTGCTGCTGGAGCGCAGCCAGCAGTCTGTTGCTGACCACCTTGCTCGGAGCCGGAGCCTCGGCACGCTTGACGGTGCGGGGCGCCGAGGTACCGGCCAGATCGCGCAGATGCACGCTGACCATCTCGACGACCATGTGCTTGACGGCTCCATCGACATGGTCAAGCTCCACGCCGACGCGCAGACCGACGTCGCAGAGCACCGCATGTCGAAGTGTCTGGACGACACGTTCGAGGTCCGGCCTTGCGCTGATGCTGCCGTCCTCGAGCGCGACCGTATAATCCGAGGCCTTGCGCAGAGCCGACGACGAACCACGACCGGTCGCCGTCCTCCTGGCCCTCGTCCTCGATCCCGACCTTGCCGTATCGTTTTAGAGCTTGGCGGAGAGCGGCAGTGAGCCACTTCCAAAGCTCAGTCCGTACGCCGACGCACAGGCCGTCGCAGCAAGGATCCTGATCGCAAATGAACGGCAGGTCCCCGCGCGTCCAGGCCGCCGTTTCCGAGTCGCCGGGGACGAAGTCGACAAGCACGTCGGTCAGGAAGAAGACGTCGCTTTGCGTGCCGTCCGGGTACACCACGGCCGCTTCGAGGTGGTCGCGGACTTTCTTGCTCCTGAGGACCCGTACCGTGTGGTCTGAAGTGGCCTTGGCCTTGAGGTAGGCCGAGGGCAACAGCCTGACGGTCTCGCCGTCGGAGCTGAAGGTGGCGTACTGAGTCAAAGACATCCTCGCGAGTGATCTGGAGGGAAGGGAGAGGTCGAGCTGAAGCTGGCAGAGGAGCTGTGGAAAGCAAGAAGGATGCGGCGAGGCGGTGGATCGGGTGAGGAAGCTTAACGAGGTGGTGGGCGTGAAGGCAGAAGGGATGAGGATTTGGCGATGAAGGGCATCGCAGGCCGCCTCTTTATACCTTTTGCCGCCCGTTGGGTGGCGTCCAACCTCTGCGCTTTTCACCCTTTGACGCCACCTCCGCCCGCCCATGCCAAAGAAGCTGCGCTGAAAGAGACTGCTCAATCGACGGCGCCGCGTAAAAGGAGGGTCAATCGAGCAGTCACTTCCGCTTCCGCCTCTCTACGGCCGATCCCGACGCGGAAGGTACAAGAGCGGTGTTGCCTCCGTCCCGCGCCGGTTGGAGCAGCACTTTGAAAGGGACCGCCCAAGGTGGCGGGCCGCTCGATTGCCTCAATGGAGATCGACCAAGGTCGAAGGGCCGCTTCCGCTTCCGCTCGGCCGCCGCAGAGAGCTACCTCTTGACTCGGACGGAGGCGGAGCGAGGAGCGCAGCTGGACGGCTCTTGTTCCGCATCACGAGGCCAGAATCAGCAGAGAGGCGGAAAGGCATGGCGTGAGAACCCTAGAATGCTTGGGTCGCTGAGCCGAAGCGCAGAGCCTCCGCCTCGACGAGATGGTGGAAGAGGAAGCACGGCATGAACGACCAGGCGCCTTTTTCCCAGGTCTAGCGATGGTGCCGGACGAGACGGATCGCGCCTGTCCGTTCCGCACCGAGCCGCCGCCGAAGACGCCAGCACACCTCGACAATGACACGGGCGGCGTCAAAAATTCATTGCGGCGGGTAGCGCTCAAAGGTGAGCGAAAGGGAGGCAGGCGCGAGAGACTTTCGTCTTCTTGCGCAGTCAAGCCGCATGCCGGATGGTGACGTCGGGAGAGGAGTCGGGCGGGCCTGTTTGTCCGGATCATCGTGCGTGGTTCGGCGGGGAAGAGACGTGCGCTGCCTTGTCGGAGCTGGCGAGGCGGCATGCATCTGAGCGTTGGGCCGGAACTGCGGGGCCGAGGGAACGACGGAGAAGAGGGTCGCCGCTGACTCGTGCGGTCTAGCGAGTCCATTGAAGGCCTCACTGGACGCGGACGGGAGCCAGACGATGCTGCTGTGCATCTAGCGCGAGGTCGACCCGAAGGCGTTGCCTGGAGCCTCTTGCTTGACGGCCTTGGCGCTGGAACGGCCATCGCGCTTGCCGTCGGTCGGAGCATCGCGCTTGCTGCCTCCACCGGTGTTGGTCGAGTGGCGCAGCGTGCCGCCAGTCAGGTGGATACCGCGATCCGCGAGCTTCTTGACGAGAGCCTCGTTGACCGCGCCGTCGGTGGCGACAGTCTCGACGGCTACGACGGTGCGAGGAGGGGACAGCTCGGTAAGGTCTCGGACATGAAGATTGACGATCGTCACCTCGAGACGCGTGTCCTGCAGCAAGCCGAACAGTCTCGGAGGGCCCAGGAATACGACGTCGATCTTGAGGCCGACGTCGCACAGCACCGAGCTCTTGACCTTCTTGAGAAACGCTTGGAAGCTGTCCATCTTGGTGATGTTGCCCTGCTTGAGGGTCAGCGTAAAGGCCGTCGCGGGGAGCGTCTGGGCGAAGAACCACGAGTAGTTGCCGTACAGCTGGCCTTTTCCAGTGACGTTGACGAGCGGATCGGCATTGATCTTGGCCACTATACCACTCATGACCTTGGAGGGCAGGCCCACGCACAGGGTGCTGCGCGCAGCCGCGTCGCAGAAGCGCGGCATGTCGTTGCGAGACCAGCCGGCAGGGTTCGCCTCAGCGGGCGTGTAGTCGACGATGCCGCGACCGACGACAAAAACGGTGCTGACAATACCGCCCGGAAGCGTTAGGTAGCACGCTGACGTCGCTCCACTGAGCCCGTAGAGGGCTTGGGCTCGCGGAGCTTGATTGACGTGCTGTTGACATTTTCGGGCGTGATGACCGCGTTCGAAGTGAAGCGGACCTCGCCTTCGTTGGTGAAGCTGGCGAAGGTGTTGGTCGACATGCTGTCGGAATCGAAGTGAAAGGGATGATGTGGAAGCTCGGAAAGGAGGACAGCCGTCGGAGGGCGCGAGCTGCTCTTATGTATGCTCGCGAGCAGGGAGAGCCCAGCAGATCCTCTGGTGCGGAGGGCACAGCTTCTCTGCGCTCCTGAACCAAGCGTCTGCTCGGCCGTCTGATGGGCGGGTCTGCCTGACTTCGCGCTGAGGCTGCGCCGATAGCGTTGTCGTCGCCTGCGCTGCCGAACTTGCTGCGCCCGTCCTTCACTCCCATCATGAGGGGGGAAGAGCCGCAAGGCAGGGCGGCGCCGCTCCACAGCCGATCATACAGCGCGCGGACCTCATCTGGTGCCTAACGGCGCCCCGAAGCGGCGTGGTGGCAGCCGAGGTGTCCGGAAAAAGGGATGAGGAACCTCACGGCCGGCAGCGGCAGCCTCGACGGCACTCGACCGGCTCCTCGCTCGCACCTGAGCTCGCTCTGCACCAATGCGTTCAGAAACGGCTTCTGCCCGCGATTTGAAGGTGTTGGCACCGCAGAGACCGCCGAGGGTCTGCGAGGCGGTGGTCGCGGCCCTCGGCCGGTGAGGCGCAAAGAAGGCATCGAACCCGACCCCAGTCTAAGCATCGCGAGGCATGTGCGTTCCTCGGGCGAAGGCAACGACCGCAGGATCCCCGGCCAGACGTCGAGGGGCCTGTCGGCCAGGGCGCCGGTCACTGCTGCGGCCTGTCGAGATGCTGCTGTCGGGGGCTGATGCCCGCGTCCACCGCCACGTCTCCGCGTCTGGACTTGTTGACCCTGTCAAGCAGATCCGGGTCGGGACGGAGGTGCGAGGCAACGCCGTCAAGCTGGAAGATGTGGCGCGGTGTCGAGACATCGGAGAGGCCGTGGACGTGGACGTTGCAGAGGCCATGCACGGGGCGGAAGCTGACAAGGTCGCCTTCGTCTGCCATGCGCTCAAGCCTGAGGGTGACGCCGACGTCGCACTTGAGAGACGAGCCGACCTCGTCGAGAAAGGCGGGCAGGTGCGTGCGGCTGTGGACCGAGGAGTCCGGATCGACGTAGGTGAAGACCATGTCGTCCTCGACCTCGATCGCGTGCCAGGAGTAGGCGCTGTCCTCTGGATCCTCGTAACGGAGCTGGATCCTGCCGGCCATCATGGCCTTGAACTGAAAAACTCGGCAGATCTCGAGAGGCAGACCGAGGCTGAGCACCGTCGCGTTGCGGTCCCGACTGGCGAGGGCTGCCGTAACCGACCGAGATGGCGACCAGCGCAAGGTGCCGGACGAGACGCAGGCTGGATGCTCGATGACCGCATCTGCAAGGACGGTGACGGCGCTGGTGGTGCCGTCGGGGTAGCGGACTGCAACATCGACGTGATCGAGGTCGTCCGGGCGCAGCTCGACTGCAAAGTCGGTGCCTGGGCGAAGGACGCCCTGCTCCATGATGCAGATGCGGCCGTGCTCGTAGGTGACGTACGGCCCGCCCATCTTGAGTGACAACGTAGCGGATGGACTCGGCGGTGAGGAGCAGGCGTGCAGCAGCGCGTGATGTCAAAGGTCGATGGGCAGCCGCCCGAAGTGGTGGTGGTGGTGGTCGAGAGAGAAGCCGCTCCTCAAGCGCGCGCTGGACGTCAGCGCAAAAAGGCTGCAGCCCGCCTGTCGAATTGAGCGAGGCGGGCCAGGCGCGAGCGGCTCCTTGGCCTCACTGCGCCCTCTTGACGCTCCTCGATCGCGCTGCTTGTCGTCACGAGACACATACACGCACGCACGCAACGGAGTTTCTCCACGCTCAAATTTGCTTCGAAACTTTACCACGGCGCAGGCAGAACGAGCTGTCACATGCCAAGGAACACGGTGGAAGACCTTCTGTGCCTGGCTGAGCACGAAGTGCAGAGGAAGAGCTCGACAGCAGGGACGCGACATGCAGAGCCCGACGCCGTGCTAAAGAGCTTTGTGCTCAACGTAGAAGGAGGACTTGGCGCCTGCTCTTCTTCAACGATGAGACTCGCTACTTCCGCCTCCTGACGCCGTTCGAAGTCTCAGACGGAGCCATGGTGCCCTTCGCCTCGTAGAGGACATGCCCGGGTCGAAAGCAAGATTTGAGGTCTGGGGCGATCGAGAGAAGGCTAGACCGCTCTTGGCTGGATCGCGCTCAGGCGGCGAGGACGTTGGCTTCAGCGGTGCATGTATGCCCTCGTGAGCCCACAGATTCAGCTGCGTCGATGCGGCTTGATCTTCTCCAGCAGAGCTTTGCTGGCCTCCTTGCGTGTAGGGGACTGCTGAATGAGATTGAGAGTGAGAGGGGCCGAAGTTGTCGTGAGGTCCCAGACGTGGACGCAGCTAATATTGAAGTCGAGTTCGCTCCAGCTACCCGCGGCGTCTTGGTGAACGCGGACGATGGCGGCGATGTCGCAGACCAAAGAGCTCCTGATCTCTTCCTGCCAGGTGCAGTGGTACTTGATGCGGCGGATGCTCCCGTTACTTTTCCTCAAGGTGAACCCGTTGATGCACTCCGCGTCGGCGGTGAGCCAGGAGAAGCCGTTGTGCTTCTTGCTCTGGTCGACCAAATCACAGGCCGGATATTTGTTGAGGACGGCGAGTCGAAGGTTCATTACGATGTGACCCATGATGTCGTCGGGAACGCCGATGCAGAGAGTCTCGCCGGTCATGCACAGAGACGGAACGCCTTCGCGGAAACCGTCGTCAAGCCGATCGGGATTGTAGTCGACCACCACTCCCGACAGAAAGGCAAAGGTGCTCTCCGCACCGTCCGGATACTGCCACACGGCCTCGAGGATGTATCTGCTCGAATCATCGTGCCTCACTCGCAGGCCGACATCTTGATAGTTCTCGGTGGTGATGTAAGCCTGGGAGGAGAGGCGGATCGACTTGCCATCGTTGCTGAGCTTGGTGTAAGCGGTGGACGCCATCGTGGATCAGCTTTGTGGCCAGAGGTGCGTGCGGTCGTCGGGTAGTGTAGCGCAGTTGTGGCTCGCGAGCTGTGAGGTGATGTGGCGAAGCAAGAACGGGGCGACGATGTCGTTGAACGGGTGACGTATGGTGAGGTACAAGGAGTGGGATGGAGGGCGAATGTCAAGAGGCGTAATCGGAGGATAGGCGAGGCTGGCGTGGAGATCAGGCGTGAAGGAGAAGAGGGAGGAGGGTTGTCAGCTCGCCCTCTTTATACCTTCGTCCCTCACCGACTGCCCCGGACCGTCTACGCCACGGGAGGCGGAGGAGCAACAGAGGAGCGGCAAAAGTCGAGGGCCGCTTCCGCTTCCGCTCCCTGCTTGGCGTCGGCGGAAAGAGGATCCGCTCGACGGCATGCAACGGCGATTGGACAGTTCAGCCCTTCGCCGGAAGGAGGTGGTGAACGGATCAGATCGATTCGGGAGTGAGGGCGATGGGGAGGGCCGAGCGGATCGCTTGGCTTCGATGCGAGGCGACAAAGTCAAAAGGTATCGGACGAATCGTGGATGCGGAAAGGAGCTACACGGAGGACGGGAGCGGAGAGAGTCGCATGGTCGGCCCCGTCGAGAGTCGCGCAAGCAAAGGACCTCGCTCCGCCGCATCGCATCATCGTGTGGCTTCTCCGCTTGTCCTGCAAAGGCGTACGGCGACGACGTGGGTGAATCTCCGGACACGACAGGGTAGGACTATCTTGTGGCGCGAGCAGCGAGGCGCATGTTGCAGGTGCTGATTGGCGCCGCGATGCTGTTGACGACTTGGGCTCCGACAAAAAGGCGGACACCGTTTCATTTTTCCGAGCCAGCGCCAGAGTGTCGACGAGGCTGTGCTAAGCGCCTCCGGGGCCGGCGCAGGACCAGCCGGGGTCTTCTGGCGAGCGACGAGGGCGAACTCGAGTCGAGGCGGCTGTCAGGCCTCCTCTTTCTTGACGCGCTGGTCCAGAGGGCTCTCCTTGGAGTGCAGTCCGCGCTCCTCGAGCTTCTTGAGGAAGCCCAAGTCGACGTCCGTGTTGCTGGCGACGTTGTCGAGGCGCATGACGGTGCGACGAGACGCCTTGTCGGTGAGGTCCTTGACGTGGACGTTGACGACGGTCGCATACAGCTCGCCCTGGGGGTGCTTCTTATTGACCGTGGTGCTGAACTTGAACCCCACGTCGCAGAGCACGGAGCTCTTGGCTTCCTGCATGAAGCTCTCCAGGTCCGGCATCGTCGCGGTCGATCCGGGGCGTAGTTGATGGTGAACTCGGTCTGAGGGCTCGTCTTGGCCTCGAACCACTTGTAGCCTTCGTGCTCAGAGCCGCAGTCCGACGCGAGGATGTTCTTGAACTTGGCGCGCATATCGGTCGTGATTGCGGCAGGCACACCCACAATGAGCGTGTGCTGGTTGTAAGAGCAATAGCGAGGCAGATGGTCGGGAACGCATCGCATCGATGCCGTATACGCGGGCTTGAACTCGATGATGACGTCCGAAATTGCCCAGATGCCGCTCAGCGTACCGTCTGGGTACTTGACCAGAAAGGCCTCGCGATTGAGGGTGGGAGGATCGCCCTCATCGAGCTGACGGGCAGGCTGCATGCTGTAAGGACCACAGGATCCGATGACACCCAAGGGCGTGACGCGGGCGCCTCCGTTCATGTCGAATTGGAAATATTGGGTCATCCACTCAAACGGGCGATGGATAGGCGGACAGCCGAGTCGGTAGTGCGAGGGATGGCGGCGGAGCTGTCGAGCGTTTGGTGAGAGTCACAGGGCGGCGCGATGAGATGGAGCTGAGCCGAAGAAAGAAGAGGGGGTGGTGGTCGAGAGGCAAGAAGCGACGAACCGGGCTGGCTGGCCTTCATCTGTCTGGAGAGGGCTGAGGCAGCACAGGCACCAGCTGTCGCTGATCTCGTCCATCTTCTCAGGTCAGTCGGTCCGCGCCAAAGAGAACGCCAAACGTGACTCCTGCCGTGCCGTTCTGGCTTGGCCTCCTGCCCTTTGTGGCCAGACTGTGCTCGTTCGCGGAGCGGCGCTGAGCGGTTGAGAGGCCGCGTCAGTCTCTTTCCACCGCGCCCTATCTCTGCATGGTGCCGCGTCAGGCACGGTTGGTCGCAAGAAAATGAAGTCGGTGGTGCTGGCCAGCCCCGGCCGGCTGCGCAGGAACTCGCCAGAGGTCCAGCGTGCTCCCTGCGAAAGCCCGTGAGCTTCTGCTTCTGCTTGCTGGGCTATGCGGCCCGCTCGTCATCGCCGCCGGCAAACCTGGTCCGCACCTGTCCGGCCACCTCGTCCTCGCTCGGCGCCCCGACCTGGCCCGCGTGGTCTCCGAGCGCCCCGAGAAACTCGCGATACCGCAGGAGCACCTTCTGTACGACAATCTCGACGAGCCCGCGCTTGACCTCGTCGTCCTCGATCCAGAGGCGGGCCTTGTCGCCCTTTTCCTCGGCCACGCTCTCGATGCACGTCGTGAGCGCCTGCAGCGTGCCCTCGACCTTTTCCCGGGCGGCGGCGGCCGCCGCCGCCGCCCTGTGCGTATCGACGTAGACGCGCAGCGGCAGCACGATGGCGTCCGACCACAGCTGCGCCACGGCGTCGATCGTGGAGCGCAGCTGCGCCTCGAGGTTCGCATTCACCCGCGGATCGTCGCGCGCCCCAGCGGCACCGTGCGCCGGTCCGACGTCGGACGAAGGGTAGAGCAGCCGGCCCGTGCTGCTCCACAGCGAGTTGATGGCGCCCGTCAGGCTCGAGAGGTCGACGATGCTCCTCGACGCGGCCATCGTCGCTGCCGCCTGCGCCTCCTCCTCTTCCTCCTTGGTGGCTGCTGCGGCGGTGGCGGTAGCGGCCGCGGTGGCAACGGCCGTCGTCGAAGATGCACCGTGGCCGCCCTGCTGCTGCTGCGAGGCCAGGTCGACGCTGACGACGACCTCGCGCAGGATCTCGTAGTGCCGGATGCAGAAGAGCCAGCCGTCCTCGCGGTCCACGCCGCCCCTGCGCCGCTTGACGAGCAGATCGCTGCCCCGCTCGACGGCCTTGCGGCAGCTCTCGACGCCCTCGGTGGCCAGCTCGCGGAACGCCTTGGGCGCAATCAGGCCCTGCAGCTGGTCCAGCAGGTCGACGAGCGCCACGACGGGCGGGTAGTACGACGAGCGCGACCCCTCGACGAGCTGGAACAGGCGCAGCTCGCTGCCGTCCCTGCCTGCGCGGGACGCAGACGTGGACCCGGTGGCCTCGGACGATGCCATGGCGGCGGCGGCGTCGAGCAGGCCTGCGCCGCTCTTGCCGCGCTGGTGCTGGCTGGTGCGCTGCACTGCGAGGGACGAAGAGTTGCGCGCCCGCGACTTGATCGCGTGGATCGCCTCTGGAAAGTCGAGGTGGCCCCGGTCCTCCTTGGGTGCAAAAGTGCCGATCTCGCCAGAGATGGCCGCCTGCGCGCGAAAGATGAGGCGGATCTGGGTCTCGTGCAGCAGCGAGTGGGCCAGCACCGATGTAGCGGCCAGCGGCGACTGGTCCGAGGTCTGGTCGGGCGTCGTGCGGTGGTCCAGGAAGACGCGGCAGACCCGGGCCAGGGCTCCGACCCGCGTCTCCTTGAGGATGCGCGGACGCAGGCGGTTCTGCAGCGCATCGACGAAGCTCTGGAGGTAGGCCTTGAGCTGAGGCTCGGCATCGAGGGGGGCGGCGGCGGCGGCCAGCGGAGTCGCCTTGCGTCCAGCCGGCGCGATGAAGAAGCCGCGGTACGCCTCGATCTCGCGGTCGACCAGCCAGCGGATCGCGGACAGACCGTCGGCGCTGAGTCTCTCTAGGCTCTTACCAGCGGCGTCGGCTCCAGCAGCGGCGTCGTTCGCTGTCGCTGCTGCTGCGGCTGCAGCCGCCTCGATGCCGGCGATCACCGAGCCGACCAGCTTGGTCAGGATGGGCCTCCGCGCCGCGAACCACGCACTTCTGCACTCGTCGAGCAGCGACTCAAACTCTGGCGCGTTGCTCGGCGGGCTGTCCGCCTTGCTGTCGCCCCCATCCGCGGCCGGGTCCGTCGGGTCGACGGCTGCGGGGTACGCCCTCCGCTCGAGCTCGTGGATGAGCGGACGGAGCTTGGTGATGAGCGGCGACTGGCTCGGATAGAGGGCGTCGACCAGATCGTCGGGCAGCGGGGATGCTTCGCCTGCCGCCCCCTGCGTCTCCCTCTCCTTGCCCTTGCCCTTGCCCTTGTCCTTGTCCTTGTCCCTGGCGGTCCTGGCATCCTCGACGCCCTTGACCCGCGCTGCGAGGTCGTCGCCCGCCTCGCGCATTCCGCGGCAGACTGCGAGTTTGGCGAGGGTGGCGCCTCGGGTGACGCACTGGGCGTAGCGCATGCGGTAGAGGGCGGCGTCACGGTAGGCGCTGGCGGGCTGCTGCTGGAGAAAGACGAGGGCCATCTCGAGCTGGTCGAGGAGGTCGAGAAACTCCTGCGAGTGGACGACAGACGGGTCGGGCGAGCTGAGGAGGGCGGTGGCGTAGGGGAGGAGGGTGAAGAACGAGAGGCGCGAGACGATGTCGTCGGAGAGGACGTCGAGGTGCAGCTGCGAGTCGAGGAGCGCCTGTGCCTCGTCGCGGAGGTCGCGCGAAGAGTCTTCGACAAAGGCTGAGCCGGCGCGCAGCTCGGACACGTTGACCTGGCACGACTCGAGCTGGCTCAGCAGCGAGCGCACCGAGGCGGTCGAGGCAGCCACGTCGGCGAGCGCCCGCTGGTGCGAAGTCTGCGTGGCCGACGTGATCGAGGCGCTGAGCGAAGTGAACCACGCCAAAAAGTCCTGCGCAGAGGCCAGGGGGGCGGCAGGGTCAGGCAGAGCGATGGCGCCGGACGATGTCGTTGTGGCTGCTGCTGCTCCTGCTCCTGCTCCTGTTGTCGTCGATGTGGCTGTGCTGGTCGACGCCGGCTGCTCATCCGAAGCTGTCGGGAGTCGCTCCGATGGTCCCGGCTTAACCGCCTCGCCCTTGAGCGTGACCCCCGTGGCCAACGCGGGTGGTCCGTCGGGAGGATCCCGATGGGTAGGTGGATGGGCGGCGAGCGACACCTTGTACTCTGCAGAGTTGCGGTGCAGCCAGTCGGCCAGGCGATTGACCGAGGTGCGCTGCGGCCCAGAGAGGGGCGCCTTTGCATTGCTCCACTGGTCGAGCTGCAGCGGCGGCGCCCTCGGCGAAGGCCGATGTTGCTGGTACGACGCCATCGCGGAGCCAGCCAGTCGGGCCCCTTACTCCCCTCGACAGACACAGATGCGATGGGAGTGTCGGCGCAGTGGGTTTGGTGGTGGTGCTGCTGCGAGGCGAGAGAGGATGTGATGGCGGGTCGTGAGGGTAGGGCTGGGCAGGGCACGGAGGGTTAGGCCTCAGCGAGAAGAAATCGCAAAGGGCGGAGCGAGAGCCGAGCAACGCCGCGTGGCTCGGCGGCCCAGCGCGCACAGGCCAGGCCAAGCAGACGAGCCCGGGCCCAGGCAGCGTTTGGCCCGCCGATTTGGGGCTTGGGGCGAGCGAAGCCAGACGATCGTCCCCCGAGCCTCTGAGCGCGGGGCGGCGAGGCGGCGAGGCGGTGCGGGCGCTGAGGGCGAGCGGGGGCCGCCTGGCGGGGGGGATCTCCACTTTGGCCTCACCTCAACTCGACCATCCTCGCTCGCACCCATCCATCCACCCATTCAGCCTTCGTCTCGCATTGCACGCCGCGCACTCAGCACTGTCGAGCCAAAAACCGACCGGCACTGCATCATCCTCCATCGTCGCCGCATCGCCACCCCTTCGCATCCGCACGACGGCCGAGGAGCACTAGGCCGACGATCCCCTCACCCTCACCCTCCGACCACCGAACACCGACCACCGCTCCCGCACAGGCTACGAAACCACCGACACCATGGCCGATAGACCCGTCGTCGTCGACAACGGTACCGGCGTGAGTGGCAGGGCAGCGCATGGCAGCGTAGAAACCGGTATGGCCCTCATGGCGCAGACGAGAAGCGCGACGACTGACACGCTGTCCTTTCCCTCCTTGACCCTTGAATGACCCGCCACCGCCGCCGACACCGCCCCTCAGTTCGTCAAGGTCGGCTATGCGGGCTCCAACTTCCCCGAGTTCGTCTTTCCCTCGATCGTCGGCCGGCCGATCCTGCGTACCGAGGAGCGCGATGCCCTCTCGAGCAACACGGGAACGCAGATCAAGGACATCATGGTGGGCACCGAGGCCGAGGAGCTGCGCAACTACCTGCAGATCACCCAGCCCATGGAGCACGGCATCGTAAAGGACTTTGGCGACATGCGACATGGTGAGTGCGACGCCGGCCTGGCAGGGGCCCCGTGTCATCCCCGGACCCTCGTCGAAGCCCAGCAGCTGACCCGCGTCCCCTCCCTCCCTCGTCTCTTCGACCCCTCGTCCCCTCGTCGTCCTTGCGAACCCCGTCCTCTGGTCCCTTTCGCTGGCTCCGCTCGCTGGCCAGTCTGGAACTACACATTCGACGAGAAGCTGCGCATCGACCCGCAGGGGCGCAAGATCCTGCTCACCGAGCCCCCGATGAACCCCAAGCGCAACCGCGAGGAAATGTGCCAGATCATGTTCGAGGAGTACGGCTTCGACGGCGTCTACATTGCTATCCAGGCGGTGCTGACGCTCTACGCCCAGGGCCTCCAGACGGGCGTCGTCGTCGACTCGGGCGACGGCGTGACCCACGTGGTGCCCGTCTACGAGGGCTTTGCGCTGCCGCACCTCACCAAGCGTCTCGACGTGGCGGGCCGCGACGTGACGCGGTACCTGATCAAGCTGCTGCTGCTGCGCGGCTACGCCTTTAACCGCACCGCCGACTTTGAGACGGTGCGACAGATCAAGGAGAAGCTGTGCTACATGAGGTGAGCACGCGGCGGGGCAGTCCGGCCGGGCCCCAGAGTCGAGGCCGTATTGCGAGTGCGAGCTCGAGCTGACGAGCCTGGCCCCCCTTATGCTCCGGACCGCCTCGCAGCTATGACCTGGACCTGGACAAGAAGCTGTCCGAGGAGACGACGACGCTGGTCGAGTCGTACACGCTGCCCGACGGGCGGGTGATCAAGGTGGGCTCGGAGCGCTTCGAGGCGCCCGAGTGCATGTTCCAGCCGCACCTGGTCGACGTCGAGCAGCCGGGCGTGGCCGAGCTGCTGTTCAACACGATCCAGTCTGCGGCCGTCGACACGCGCTCCGAGCTGTACAAGCACATTGTGCTGAGCGGAGGCAGCTCCATGTACCCGGGCCTGCCCTCGAGGCTGGAAAAGGAGATGAAGCAGCTCTACCTCACCCGCGTGCTCAACGGCGACGGCTCGAGGTTGAAGGTGGGTCCCCCCGCGGAAGAGGTCCGGGCAGCCGCGCGCAAAGTGACACGTCGCTGAACACCTCGTGCATCCCCTCCTCTGGCCCCGCACCCCTCTCCCCGCAGAACTTCAAGATCCGGATCGAGGACCCGCCACGAAGGAAGCACATGGTGTTCCTGGGCGGCGCTGTGCTGGCCGACATTATGAAGAACCGCGACAGCTTCTGGATCTCGCGGGCCGAGTGGTACGAGCAGGGCAAGGAGTGCCTGGAGCGCCTCGGCCGACACGCCTGATGGCAGCGCCGTCAGCGAGGCGAAAGGGCCGAAGGGCGAAGGGAGCGACGAGGATGGAGGCCACCGTGTAGCTGGCTAGTCGGCACGAAGTAGAGACACAGAGGAGAATTGACGTGCCTGGGCCCCGCCAACATGGCCGGATCCACGACGTGTGCGGTCCGAGAATGGCGGAGCGACCGACTTTGTTGCCCTACCACCCGGAATCGCTTTTGAGGTCTATGAGTGACCGGTGGCGACCAGACGGAGCTTCGAGCGGCCCTCTGGAGCGGGTTCAGCGTGGGTCGAGGACGTGGGGCGGGGCAGCTGGCCCTGAAAGCCATGGCCTAGCCCGCGAAAAAGGCGAGCGAAAATCGGAGAAAATGCGAGCGAGCGAGGGAGCGAACGAGGGCGGGCGGGCGGCAGGGCGGGGCGCCGGCTGACAAGGGTCCCGGGCCACCCTGCCTGCTGGCTTCGCCTGGCTGGCCGGCTGCCTGATGTCGTCGATGGCTGGCGGCTGCTGCTGCTGCTGCTGCTGCATCCGAGGCCAGCGCGGGGGGGCCAGGTCCAGGTTCAGGTCCAGGTCCAGGCCCAAGCGGGCATGGGGATGGCCCGGAGAGACCGGCCCACTCGACGAGGCGGTGCCGCCGAGACGAGCTTCCCGACGAACCCTCATCGTCTTCATCACCACCGCCACCGCCACCGCCACCGCCATTGGCACCACCACCACCATCACCCACCACCCAGCACCCAGCACGCCACTCACCACGCTCGCTGGAGGTCACCACACCACGCCGCACACTGCCAGTGCTTTCACGCCCACCAACCTCAGCCCATCTTCCGTTCCGGCAAGCGTCGATACAGCTTCCGCCACCTTGCTTCGACGACGCCGCTACCGAGCGCATCCTTGGCTCAGCCGCGACTATCGAGTCAGCAGCAGCGCACAGACCGACCAAGCGTATCGATTGCCTGGACTCGCCGATCTCGCTGCGCTCAGCCTCGCGCTCACCGGCCAACACCCTGCTGGCACCGAGGCCACAGCCGGCAGGTCTGCAACTCGAAGCGCAACAGCCGGTCGCCACCCCGTCTCTCCAGACCGTCTGCCCTTGCTGTCTCTGCTGTGCACCCACACAGCTGACCCTCCTAGACTAGACAGCTCACCCAGGTAGCCCGCCCATCTCTGCACCGGTGCCGGAAACGCTCTGCCCGCCGCTGGGTACGGCGCAGCTCCTCGTAGTTCAGCCGTGCCGCTCCGGCTGCCTCGAGGCCGTCTGTCTGCCAACGCTGCCGATGCCAACTGCCACTGCCACTGCCACTGCCACTGCGACTGCGACTACCACCGCCACCGCAGCCGCCAAGATGCCCGCCGCCAACGGATCCTCGGGCTCCAGCTTCCTCTCGCCCAACCACCCCATCAACCTGCGCAAGCAGGCCGCCCCCAAGCTCGACTCGTCCTTCTCCGTCCGCTCCTACATCGGCGGCGCCAATGCGCTCCTCGAAAAGGCCCAGGCCGCGGATGCCCAGGGCCAGCTAGAGGTCGCCTTTGTCAACTACCTCAAGGCCGCCGGCGTCGCCTCGTTCATCTCCAAGCACGATGACTGGCCCAAGATCCAAAAAGGCCGCGGCCCCGTCTACCAGGCCTACAACGAGCTGATGCAGGTGAGACGGCCGTGGCGGCGGACCTGACCGAGATCGACGCTCTCGCGATGGCTGACAGCCTCTCTCCCCTCTCCGGCGTCCATGCTTGAACCACCTGCGCCCGTTGTTGGCACCTGCAGCAAGTGCCGGCTTTCATCGACCGCACCAAGAGGATCGAGGAGCAGCTGAGGATGCGCGAGGAAAAGAATGCGCTGCAACAGAGAGAGGCCCAGGCAAAGGAGCACGAGAACCGCGCCAAGGCCTCGGAGCGGGGCCAGCCTGGCAGCGGCGCATACGACGGCCAGCCCGCAGCCGAGGCCGGTGGCATGCCCACCGGGTCTCCGGCCCAGGATGGCGGCCTCAATGCCGCCGAGCGCGAGCAGGGCGGCGGGACCGATGCGCCCACCGCGGCGGGGACAGAGGTGCTGGGCTCGCGCCACGGCGCCCACACGCGGATGAGCGCATCGCTGGCGGAGCGGCTGCAGGCATTGAGGGGCGCCGGAGTCGACGGCGGCATCGGCGGCACCGGCAACGGCGCACCCGATGGCCGTGCGCGCTCCAGCTCGCTTTCGGATGGCAGCATCGGCGGCGCTAGTGTCGGCCAGCTCCCACGCACCGGCGACCTCGCCTCGCAGCTTGAGGCCCTCGCCGAGAGGGACGACCGCGGCAGCGACGACGAGCCAGAGCCTCCCGTTGCCAGGGACGGCTTCGCCTCGCCCACGCTGCCGCACGACGACAGCTTCTCGATGCATGCCGTCAGCAACGCCCTTCGCGGCCTCCAGTCCCACGACCGTGGGCAGCAGGCGCCGGCCGCCGATGGATCTGCCGCTCCAGACGGCGCACCGCACTTCCCGCACGTCCCGACTGCCTCCGAGTTCGAGAGCAGCTATCCTACGCTCGACGCCTTTGAGCGCGGAGCTGCCGGCGACCACACGCCGACGGCCAACGGAGCGGCGCCGCGACTGGCAGCGGAGCACCAGGGCGACGGCGACGATGATGCTGGCCACAGCATGTTTCCGGCCCGCCCGCGCACCCGGTGGGCAAGACGAAGCGCCGCTGCCGGAGCCGCCGG